ACGTAACGGCTTACGAAATACCTCGGCGGACAATGAAGAAAAAAAGTTACGCTACGCGCCAATTTCCACGCGATTGCCCATCGTTGAAGAAAAATGGCAACCCTCGTGTCAAATCTGTTCCTTTTGCGTCGATTTCTTATCAGCGATTCGCGCGGTAAATTGTGCGCGGGCTATTAGAAAGGAGCGCAGGACGCCGACACTGAAGAGAATTCGACTAAAAAATGGCCGCTCGTGATAATTCTTACAATGCGCTGCTTCCACCTCGATCCCCCTCGGCCATAAAAATCTTGGGGTCGAGTGATTTTCATTTTCACGCGCGCACAGCGAATTCTGTGCCCGATGTCCCTCCGTTGTCGGCATCCATGAGTTTTTCCGCCCCTTCTCGCGCGCAATGCATGCATACGCGCAAGTACGTTTATTTTTATTCTCCTGGCGATTCGTTCTCTATCACCCCACTGCTCTCACTCAATGGACATTCTCTTTCGTAATGGTCGTACGAGACCTTCCTCCACCCCGAAAATTTATGTTAATGCATGCGAGCTGCCGATAGAAGTACACTCGCATGCACGCGCAGCGAGAGCGGCGAAATCATATTGAGCGCATGCTAATTCAGACGAATTTTTGGAAAACGATGCGCGCTCAACAACTACCCCTGTGTGGCCTGTGCTTCCTCGATCGGACAGTGCGTAGGGTGAACTAATGATTCACGGGCTCCTGAACCAAGTGGAGAAAAGGAAAGATAGCGAGATATATATATATATATATATATATATATATATATAGAGAGAGAGAGAGAGAGAGAGAGAGAGAGAACACGCTTGTGTGTGTGTGTGTGTGTGTGTACGTGCGTGTGTGTACGTGCGTGTGTGCTTTTGTTTGTTTGTTTGTGTGCGATGTGTGTGCGCGCGTGAAAGAGAGAGAGAGAGAGAGAGAGAGAGAGAGAGAGAGAGAAGCAGAGAACAGTTCTAGACAAAAGCGGGGAATTTGAATACATTTATGCGTGAATGACGGGGCGCACGACAAAGCGTAGCCGCGTGGCTTTCTTCGAGCTGCGAGGCAAACTTTTTTTTCTCCCCCTAGCTTGCATTCGGACCTCACGAATATTTCACCGGCCGCGCTATACCTTTCTCGGACATTATAACTATTATTTGTAGCATTTATCGTTTTCGCCTATAATCTAATGTAGGGAACTACGAAATATATATAAGCGAATTATGTGGTGCATGAAGGCATAAAGAAACAAAACTTGGATGTGCCTTTGACGCGAACAATATTCAGTTATGATAATTACAGTCTCGACGCTTGTACAGAAGATTGAAAAATCGAGCCAATTTAAAAACATTAATAGTCAGTCAGTTGCGCAATATATCAGTAGCTTATCTCGAGATGATTTCCCTCGCGCGCTTACCTCCCGAATGTCACATAATCCTACACAGGCGCTTAACTTTCGTAAACTTACTTATTCACGTATTCGATAAAATAGCGCTAAAGTTTATATTTAATGCACAATGCGACTAGACTTTCACCCAACTATGAATATTGTAGACGTATTAAGGATTATCATAGTGTACTTGGAATTATTCATAATGAAAACTTTTGTTGGAAATGTTAATCCGTCTACTCTTTGGCTCGCCGTTTTATAAGCTTTCCAGATACTTTCTAACAGATAAGCGACTGGAAGTTTTATTAATAATTGCGTGAATAAACTAAAGGGAGAATCGTAAAGATTTAATTATTATTTACGACCGCCATTGTATGGAGGTGAATGTAAATTCGAACGGAGTTCCGTCTTTTATACGACACCCATACAATGATTCGACCATTTCAATTACTATGAAAAGAGAGCCAGAATTATCCATTTTTCATGGAATTATGAATGTAAATTTATTTATCACCGACATATGAATAAGACCGCGTTGAGCGAACAAAGCAAACATTTTGGGTTCATAAAAGTGTAAAGAGACACTTTCTTGATGACATTGGAAATAATGTAAAGAAGAAGTTACGGGAGAATTCCCACAAAAGTTCAAGGTTTCATTAAAATTGGGAGTATGCGAATTCGAAGATGCCAACGGCCGTTTGGCAAATTAATATTAACAATTGTTAGGAAGGCGAAAAACGTTAAGCTTGTGAGCATATGCAAGATCAAAGGGGGAAATGTCGAATGTTAGTGCTCGACTTTGCTGTCTATGCGTCTAAGTGAGTAGTACTACACATAACATCGGAGGGCGTTTGTGCACCGAAATCGGAAATGCGCTCGATGCCGTCTGTCCGTTGTTCACTTTTTCTGTCCCTCACTCTCACTCTCTCCCTCCCTCCCTCTCTCTCTCTCTCTCTCTCTCTCTCTCTCTGTGTGTCACTTGCTCTATCTCTATCTGCAATATCCATTAATGTGTGTATTTACCGGCGCGGGCGTGTCTGTATTTGAGAGAGATAGAGATATCGAGAGAGAGAGAGAGAGAGAGAGAGAGAGAGAGAGAGAGAGAGAGAGAGAGAGAGAGAGAGAGAGAGAGAGAGAGAGAGAGAGAAAGAGAGACAGAGACAGAGAGAAAGTGAGAGTGAGAGAGAGAGAGAGAGAGACAGACAGACAGACAGGCAGACAGAGAATAACAGTGTGCACCGACTCACGAATACACTTTTTGGGGAGTGAGGTCAGGTTAGGGCGAATGCATTGGTCACTCTCTCTTTCACTTTGAAGAACAGCTGTGCTCTATGAGGATTTCGATCGATTTCCAGCCGTTAATATAAAGGCACACTTTTTCAGCCCCTTTCCCTCTCGACAATTTTTCAAAGGGGGTCGCGTGCCTTGACTTTTTACTTTCTTTTCGAAAAAATAATTTTGAAGTAAAAAAAATCTTGATAAAGTATTCATTATTTCGGAGAGTTATGTTAGGAAAGAATGACACGGATCGTATTCACGTTACTTTGTCATAGCGTCTGATTTATGATATTTGATTTTTTTCTGTATTTTATTTTATTTTATTTTCTTCTTCTTCATTAATTCGAAAAAAAAAACGTATATTTACCGGAACCTTAATTTGGTCCTATGCCCCTTATTTATTTATTGAATTCGTTTTAATCAAAATGTCAGGATAATTCACGTGCAAGGACGATCGATGTCGTTTCAAATAAATAGCACTTAATGCGATCGAGTAAAATATTTAACAATATCGGTAAGAGATTTCGCCAGAGTAACGCGATGATCGTAATTTCTCAATTTAGACGGCCATTATAAATACAATAACTATTTTACTGTTAATTGTTAATGAAAGGTTTTAAGATTGGAGGAAGGAAGTGACCATTACGCTCTATCTGTAATGTACTATATTATTATTTATGATTTTCGGTTTTTCAAGCTGCAAGGCACAAAAATGAATATCTCTTCTAAAAGTTAACTCTACGTAATGCGTGACGTCGTACACAAGATCCGCGTAGACTAGATTACATAAGCTGCATCATTGACTAGCATACAATTTCCTTTATTCTCTTTTCTTTTTCATTTTGTTTTCTTGTTTTTTGTTTTTCTTTAGAGTAAGCTTAAGACGAAGACGAAGGTAAAGATAATTTGTATGGTCATTGTAATGGTTTCTTTGGTTTCGTGGATTCCTCGTACAATGCACCGACAAAGTGTAGGTGCATGCAGGTGCACACGCGTGCGGAGTCGCCTCGAGAGTTATAGCCTCCGCAATTGCTGACATTATCATTTCGATGTCGCTGCGGCGTTCTATCTTATACAAATGAGGTTATCAAGAAAATGGAAAAAAAAAAAAAAAAACAAGAATAACGGCTCCATATATATTATAAATTTTCTTTCGTTAAATATATTAGAGATCTATTTGTCGCGCAGTTGGCTGTGTATTCAATACGATTGTACTTTTGGTTGGGGGTTATACTGTATCGACCCTGAGTTCGTTTGTATTTTTATTATTTTCATTTCATAATTCATTCCTTAAAATCATCTGCAACGCATTATTTTTATTTTTTCGTCCTCTCTCTCTCTCTCTCTCTCTCTCTCTCTCTCTCTCTCTCTCTATCTATCTATCTATCTATCTATCTATCTATCTATCTCTGATATTACATCCTTTATAAACTATATTATTCGTATAGAGTTCATTTATCTTTATCATAATTTTTATATTTCTTTATTTCTTGTTTTTTTGTTTTGTTTTTTTTTGTTTTGTTTTTTTTTTGTTGAAATTATTTTTCTTCTTCTATTTCTTTTTTACTATACGCGAAATTGCATGGGCTCTTGTCAAGGCATTATCGTGTTTTTTGTTGTATTTAATTCAATATGGAGTGTTGACAGTCAGAAGGCCTCAGATAAAATGTAGCTTAATTCCAATATTATTAAAGGGCTTGGGCGCTGGGCACTGGTGTCCAGGAAGCGAGTGAGCTGATGTGCCATCTCGAGACGACAAAGTCGATTGCATTATCTTGACTTTATTATGTAGATAATCTAGGCATTACCAATGTTAAACGATCGAGGAATATAATATGTCACGCCGAGGACAAGCGAGAGCGTTATGTGCATGCGTGTCATGGAATTATCGCTTTGGCCTGCTATCGAGCCAATGAAAATAGGAACTTTGTTCGATCACCCATTTGCATTAATAAGATTGCCTCTATAAGTAATGTGTATGTACATGAGTTGGCGCAGCCTCCGCCGCTATCGCCTCACACTCGCGATAAGTTATATACGAGCGAACGCTTCCCATGTGAGGGATTTAGCTCGGTAAATGAGCATGGAAATTCTTGAGGCAGCCAGGCGTCAAGATCGCTGGCTCGTCACGAATTTCCACGCGCCCTTCATCATTAATTGTAAATTTTCCAATCTCCGGTCACCTACGATCCCCGCCAATCAGTGTCAACGCAAGGCTATATATTACCGACATTGTTCGGCAAGCTCACCAATCTTATCGAGACGCTAATTGTCGCTTGCAGAATATAAAAAATATTTGGCCCGAAAAATGTTAGGCCCGGCGGGTGCGTAGGTGGCCGTCGTTAATTAATTGTTGAATTAGGAACCAGTAACCACGTGCTCGTGCAATGATTCGCCGGCTGTGCAGATGGGGATTGGGGTCGAGGCATCTCAGGCAGGATTAAGGGTGAAGGACATGGTGAGGGCGCCGTTAACCCTTGTCTTAACCGGCAGGAAAACGAGGGCTGGCGCGAATCTCCTGGAGGCCGAGTTCAAGCTGTCCTTGTTGTTGCAAACGGGGCCGCCGCCATTATGCGGACTCTCGATCTCCTCGATGATAAACGGTTGCATAATGGTCTTGTCTGGCGTGAGATTGATGTCTTGGGGCATGGCGTAGCTGGCCGGGACCTTGTGCTTGTTCGCCACGTCTTTGAGGGTTTTTGTTAGCTCGGTGAGTACCGTCTCCGCGGGATCTCCGAGGCTCTTGTGGTCCTTTCTTATGTGCTTCTTGATGCGATTGAGATTGGCCGTGGCGAAGCCGCACTGAGCGCACTTGTACGCCCCCTGTGGCATCACCTGCACAGCATTGTTCTCTTCCTGTTTCTTCATCTTGTTCGTGTCGATCTCATTCATGATGTGGGGTGGAGTAGGCTGGCGCAGATCCTCCTTCGCGTCCCCGTAATCGCCTCGCTCGTGATAACGAGGCGGTTGATCGTTGCTTAAATTAAAGTCGTTGAGCAACGGTATTGGGAACTGGGAGAGTAGTCCTGGGAACGGACTCGGGTGCCGTGATATTATATGCTGGCGGAGCATTTCAGGCTGCCCGAATACATGATTGCATATCGGACATTGTATTGTCCTCTCGCTATCCAGGCTCGCGCTCTCTTCATTATGATGTTGATGATTGCTGTGGGACCTTTCGTGTAAGAAAAACAGGGGCAAAATGGAGGTGGAAAAATTGCAATGGAGCTGGGAGCAGCGGTAGTTTTGGGCCGGCTGATCGTCGCTCGTGTTGCCAAAGAAATTTGACAGTACTTGATTACCCAGGCTGGCCAGGTCGGTCCTTAATTGTTGCGCCGGCTCGAAGCCGTTTGGTATCCGAAGGCTCGCATTGGCCGTTTGCATTGTCTGCTGCTGCTGCTGCTGCTGCTGATGCTGATGCTGCTGCTGCTGCTGCTGCTGCTGCTGCTGCTGCTGCTGTTGCTGTTGCTGCTGATGCTGATGCTGATGCTGGCCGCTCTTAGGGATATTGGGGACGCGTGCCGGGGTCTTGGGGCTCGCCTGCTGATACTGCTCGATTTCCCGCCACTTTTCAATACCGGCTTTGCCGTGCTCTCCCTGCAGATGGACCTTGAGCCACTTGGAGCTGCGGAAGCGCCGATTGCAGATCGGGCAGACTTCGGTGAAGTGCGTGATGTAGCGAAGACTGAGATCGCCGAGCT